AAATGTTTGCGTGCCCAAGGCTTTAATACATCCTCTAGAAAATGTTCGCAATAATATTCGGCATTTATTCTGATGCTATGGTCGATTTATACGAGCGGAGAGCGACCATCGGCTGTTATGGCGGCCCACACCATCACCATGACCGGCGCTTGAGTTCTGGAGACACACTTTCAGCTGACATCTTTGGCTAGTAAACACGATCATTTTGTTTGCTTTTAAATTGCTGGACAACGAATGTTTTCTCATCGGAGAAAACCAAATTCAGCAGTTTACCACTTTCGGCCAAGCAAAGCTACTCACAAGCCATTTTTCTGCCGATGTTGCTGTTTTCTTCCGTCCACTTCCTTGACGTCGGGCTGTGCTACCAGTATCACGGTTTCGAGGATGCTACGAGACACAAAAGATTTATTCGCATTTAAATGCTGGAGTGCTCTAACGATTGCCACTTATGGTTTTCCAGCCAAAATATAAAAAATCACACTATCACGCTTGAATTCCACCGCGAATTACGTTTTTTTTTATTGGAAAATTCTAACCAAAATGATTTTGTACGCTTGTAAACAATATTAAGAGCTGTCACTGGAATAATTTTAAAAAGCTGACGAGTGGCCTAGAAATGACAGCAGTCTGAATTTGGTTGCAGTTTTTTCATCTCACCCTGTGTATCATCTTCATAACAGACCTTGTGTTAGCAAAAATGTTTTGGATATGTGAAATTTGAAGATGGTTGGATGCTTATTTCGGATTTTATGATCGATTTTGTTATTCAAAACTTTGACCCTTTGTGGGGGAGGTACCAGAAGGAATGGTCCAATCTCTACCATCTTTATAATAGATCTTGTGTTGATGGATATGATGAGATATGCCAAGTCTGAATGGAATCGGGTGTTAGTTTCGTGTTTTATAAGCTTTATAAATATTCAAAATTTTTACCCTTTGTGGGGGAGGTACCAGAAGAAGTGGACCGATAGGGGATATATCACAGGGGATATATTCACAGCAGATCTTGTATTAGTGGAAATAATGGGATGTGTGCAATTTGTGGAGAATCGGATGCTTATATCGGATTTTATGATCGTTTTTGTTATTCGAAACATTGACCCTTTGTGGGGGAGGTACCAGAAGGAATGGTCCGATCTTTACCATCTTTATAACAAAACTTGTGTTGATGGATATAATGAGATATGCCAAGTCTGGATGGAATCGGGTGTTAATTTCGTGTTTGATAAGCTTCATAAATATTCAAAATTTTGGCCCTTTGTGGGGGAGGTACCAGAAGGAGTGGACCGATATTATCCATTTTCTTACCTGACATAGCACTAACATAGCACAAAATTTGCAAGGTTGGAGCAAAATCGGATAATTCTTTCTCTTTCTGTGCAAAAAATATGTTCTTTGAAAATATTGAACTTTTGTGGGGGAGGTACCAGAAGGAGTGGACCGATATTGCCCATCTTCGCACTCGATCTAAGTTTGACAATCATAGTACGATGTATCAAGTTTGGATCAAATCGGATACTCCCTTTGACAGTTGTCATGCGCACCTGCCATACAGACAGACGGACGTATGGATATCGCTAGATCGACTTCAGATGACCTGAAATGAATTTGGTTTAAAGAGACCTAGGGTCTTCGATGAGACTCGTTTTGGCCGTATCAAATGATATACACCTTTTGTAGCCTATCCGTTCATCAAATATCAAATATGTTACTATTTAGTATTTTTCGTACAATTATAGCACACATTTCCGAATCCTAATTCATGTGTCCAGGATACACATGCACTGCGACGATAATAATAAATTTCCGATTTCGATTGATTTCTGATGTTAGAATTTTGAAAAACCCTGTAGTTTGTCTATCCTACACAACATCAACATTCATTTTTTCAAAACCACTTCATATCCCAAACCCTACATGCCAATTACGACCATAATTTAAACTTGAGTACAATTCTGTGTCTTTCTTACATAACCGGTAGGTTTTTCTAAAACCAATTTCATACCACAACACTACATACCAATTCTAACTCATTCACAATTTTAACTTTATCCGTACAATCAGTACAAATTTTGTACCATTTATTACCTTTTGTACTCTTGTAGAACTTATTTCTAAAAATAATTTCAAATACCAGAACTCCAGCTTTATAGGTTCACCCAAAACAACTTTGCACCAAAATTTAGTACAATTTAGTATAGAGAAGTACGTATTTCTAAAAGTTCCTAAATAACCCAATCCTATAATCCAACAGTGAACTTAATTCGAAATTTCAGGATTACAGCCCTATCGGTTCGCACAAACCCGAATTGTACCTGATGGAGTACACATAAGTACGAATTTCCCTAACTTCCTACGTACCCCAATCCTACACTCCAAATTTCCAAAACTACCTGCATACCTCAATCATATGATCCCATCGTAATCCTATTTTCAAATTTCAAAATTCCAGCTCTCTAGGTTCCAGCTCTAATTTGTACCAAATTTAGTACCATTTAGTACACATGAGTGGAGATTTCCGCAACAACCTGCATCATACAATCCAATAGAAGTTTTATTTCCCAATTTCAAGATTCCAATCCTATCGCTTTACTCAAAACCAAAATGTACCAAATTTAGTACCACTTAGTTTACTTAAATACGAATTTACAAAGCTTCATGCAGAAGTCAATCGTACACTCCCACAGTAATCCCAATTCCAAATTTCACGATTCCAACTCTATCGGTTCCCCCAAAATTTAAATTGTAACCAATTTAGTACCAATTGTAACATAAATGCGAATTTCAGAAACTACCTTTATACCTCAGTTCTAGAATGCAATGGTAATTTATTTCTTAATTTCAGATCTCCAGTTCTATGGCTTCATCCAAATCGAAAGTGTACCAATTTTTGTACCATTCAGTACTATTTGTGGACATAAGTACAAATTGTAAAAACTACCTCCAAGTCAAGTCAAGTACAAAATTTAGTACTGTTTAGTAATTTTGTTCTACCCTCCACCTTGGAAGGGAGGGTATATTAACTTTGTCATTCCGTTTGTAACATCCTTAAATATTCGTCGTAGACCCCATAAAGTATAAATTCAGCGTAAAATTCTAAGTCGATTCAACGATGTTCGTCTGTCCGTCTGTCTGTCTGTTGAAATCACAAAACAGCCCACATTATTTGACGTAGAGCGCCAAAAGTTAGCAGAGCAATTTGTATTGTGTCTAGGATGGTTGGTATTGAAAATGAGATATATCGGTACACGTTCTGGTATAGTCCCCATATAACGGCACCTCCCGATATTCGGTATTTTGATGATTTATGCCACATTTTTTTTACGGATTTGTCTGAAAATTGGTATTTGTAGGTCACAACGGGTACCTGTGCGTGTGGCAAAACATTGCATGTATAGGTCCACGTTTTAGTATAGCCCCCATATAAAGGTACCTCCCGATATTCGGTATTTTAATTTTTTTTGCCACATTTTTTCACGGATGTGTCTAAAAATTGATATTTGTTGTCATTATGGGTTCCAGCTCCGGTGGCGAAACATTGCATGTATGGGTCCATGATTTGGTATAGCCCCAAATATCACGGTACCTCCCGATATTCGGTATTTTGATGGTCTTTCCCACATTTTTTCACTGATTTGTCTAAAAATTGGTATTTGTGGGTCATAAAGGGTCCTAGTTCGTGTGGCGAAACATTGTATGTATAGGTCTACGTTTCGATAGGGTCGCCATCTAACGGTACCTCCCAATATTCGGTATTGTGATGATTTTTGACACATTTTTTTCAAGAATTTCTCTGAAAATTGGTAGTTATAGATCATAATGGGTCCCAGTTCGTGTGGCGAGTCATTGTAATTATAGGTCCACGTTTTGGTATAGCCCCCATATAACGGCACCTCCCGATATTCGGTAATTTAATGATTTTTGCCATATTTTTTCATGGATTTGTCTGATAATTGGTATTTGTTGGTCATAATGGGTTCCAGCTCCGGTGGCGAAACATTGCATGTATGGGTCCATGATTTGGTATAGCCCCAAATATCACGGTACCTCCCGATATTCGGTATTTTGATGGTCTTTCCCACATTTTTTCACTGATTTGTCTAAAAATTGGTATTTGTGGGTCATAATGGGTCCTAGTTCGTGTGGCGAGTCATTGTAATTATAGGTCCACGTTTTGGTATAGCCCCCATATAATGGTACCTCCCGATATTCGGTAATTTGATGATTTTTGCCATATTTTTTCACGGATTTGTCTGAAAATTCGTATTTGTAGGTCATAATGGGTTCTAGCTTCTTTGGCGAAACGTTGCATGTGTAGGTCCACGATTTGGTATAGCCCCCATATAACGGTACCTCCCGATATTCGGCATTTTGTATGGTTTTTGCCACATTTCTTCAAATGTTTCCTTTACCCTAAGGTGGAGGGTATTAAAAGTTTGGCCCGGCCGAACTTAATGATTTTTACTTGTTAAAAAGTACACACTTTCCAAACTACTTGCTTATATCGACTCTACTCCTCCACCTTGATTCCCATTCCAAATTTCAAAAAAATCCTTTCATATATCTATCATACACTCCATCAGTGACCCTTAATTCCAAATATAGTTCTATATCTACTGATTCCTAAAATACAAAGGGTACCGTAATTAGTACTCTTTAGTACTTTTCGTACCGTTTTAGTATCAAGAACGGTACGAACGGACCTTCGGACCAGGAGTGATCCTCACCCAAAATTTCAAGATTTTAGCTTCAGCCGTTTCGTCCGGACTTTGACTTTAAATCGTTAAGTCAGCCAGTCAGTCAAGACATCCCTAAAATAGTTCGTACTATTTAGTACTTCTTGTTCCCTTATAGAGCATATCTTCAAAGAGTAAGTTTCATCAAATGCTTACTCTTCACTTTATTTCGCGATCGCTATTCTGTTCCGAATTTTCTAGAAATCGAAAAATATTTTTTACTTCCTCTCATAACCAATTTCTATCTCTCCTTCTTTTTTTCAGATTGTCGGCCGTTCTTTAATCCTACAAGACCAACAATGAACTTTCATCTGGCAAATTAAAGGTAAATATTTTTCACATTTAAAAATTCACATAACTTCTGCCAAATTTCTCTACATATTTACACTCACAAAGCACTCCCAACCTTCTAAATATTTAAGCAGATTATTTAATTGCCAACATGCACTTGGTTGTAGACATTGATTCCACTAAATTCGACGCCAAAGCACTTAAATCCCAAGAATTCTAAACGGAATTCCAAACCCCTGCAAAAGCCGCGTTAATCCCTAAACAAATTTCAATCAATGCTTCGATTGGCCGGCTAAAATGCTAATCGAACAAACAGAAGACCAACAACAGTTGGTTGTGTAATGCCAATGGCGATGGCGTTGATGACCCTAAGCAAATTGCGAAGCAGCGTAATTAATCGCTGTTGTTAGTTAAATGCTTAAATGTTGCGTTAGTGGCCTTCTTACCTCCCCCCCCCCTCCCAATCAAATTGCCATTCCGACTAAGTGGTGGGAGTGCCACCCATTGGTCATTGTGTAATGTCCAAAGCACACCCTTTCTTTCCATTCTCTACGGCCACCATTCCATTGCTGAAGTTCGACCAACCGACCACCGCCATGCGAATGACAATGGGTCAGCACATAATTACTATTATCATCAAATGCTCATATGTGTCGGCATGTGCGTAAGTGTTAGTATTGTGAGTGTCTTATTGGGGAAGTTCGTTAAATTCTCCGATTATTTGTCTAATTCCAAATTACTGCTTATCAATGAACTGCACTTAATTTTAGTATTGGTTTTCATGAATTTTAACATGAAATTAATTACGCAAGAATGGTTGGGGAGGCGGAGGAGAAGAAAAGAATTTCAATGGAAAACGTCTTCCTACCCCACTATGTGGGCGGTTGGGACCCCATTTACCAAGGCAGTAAATATTCTTAATAATTATATTTCTTTAGAAGCAGGTCTAGGAAGAAGTATCCATTTTCGATCTAAATTAAGTACATAAATCGGAATGTGAGAAGTTCGTAAAATTAGGAATTTATTTAATCTATAGGGATTTTCGAAAAAAATTTCTATGTGGGAAAATCAGGACAAATTTTACATGTTTTGGGTGTAAAAATATGGGTACATTTGACTCCATAACCATAAAGGCCTTATATACGACCTTATTAAGGTGTTTTAGAGGACGTTTTAAAGGACTTCTATAAGATCTTTGTATATCTCTCATCCCAAAGCTCAGACCTTTCTAAAGCTCTTTAAGATCTTTCTATAAGACCTTTCCCAAGGTTTTTATATGAGACCCTTCTAACGCTCTTCTGTGATACCTTTGAGGACCTATCCAAAGCTCTTCTATAAGACCTTTCCAAAGCTCTTTTGTAAGACCTTTGCAAATCTCTGTTCTGACGTTCTTAAAGGTCGTCTATAAGACATTTCTAAAGGTCTGCTTTAAGACCCTACATCCGTCTATTATATCGATTAAATATTACCTATCAATCCTTTCTAATGCTCTTCTATAAGGCCTTTCTGAAGCTCTTCTAAAAGACATTTCTGAAGCTCTTCTATAAGACCTTTCTAAAGGCCATCCATAAGACCTTTCTGAAGCTCCTCAATAAGACCTTTCTGAAGGTCTTCTATAAGACTTTTCTAAAGGTCTTCTATAAGACCTTTCTAAAGGTCTGAAGCTCCTCAATAAGACCTTTCTGAAGGTCTTCTATAAGACCTTTCTGAAGGTCTTCTATAAGACTTTTCAAAAAGTCTTCTAAAAGACCTTTCTGAAGGTCTTCTATAGGACCTTTCTAAGTCTTTTTAAAGACCTTTCTAAGTCTTCTTAAAGACCTTTCTAGAGCTCTTCTTTAAGACCTTTCCAAACTCTTCCATAATACTTATATAAAGCTCTATAAGAACTTTTTAAAGCTTTTTAAGACCTTTCTAAATGTTTTCTACAAGAAATATCCAAAGCTTTTCTGTAACCCTATGTAAAGCTCTTCCTTAAGACCTTCTATGAGACCTTTCCAAAGCTCCACTGTAAGACCTTCCTAAAGGCCCTCTTTAAGACCTTTCTAGAGGTCTTCTTTAAGATTTTCTAAATGTCTTCTGCAAGACCTTTCTAAAGGTATTCTGTAAGACCTTCTAAAGATCTTTTTTAATACATTTTAAAAGTCATCTAAAGGAGCTTTTATAAGTCCTTAAAAGTTCTTTAAAATCTTTTAAAGATATTTTATTTTGTTCTTTCATCTTATTCTTATAGAGTATTTTTTTTAATTGTCATCTATAAGTCCTTTATAGGGGGTCTTTCATAAGTCCTCTGTCTGCTATAGGATCTCTTTACAGGGTGAGATAAAAAAAAAACTGCAACACAGTCAAATGCCCTAATTTTTTCAATTTTATTTTTAAATTTTATTGAATGAAAGTAAAAAATGTCGGAAATAGCATCAAATTTTAGAATAAGTTCAGATTTGTTAGAATTGGTCACCTTTGGCACGAATTATGGCCTTCAAACGGCTAATGAAACTGCCACACGTTGCCCGAATGTTGTTCTGTGGTATTTTGGCCCATTCGCGGCGAAGCGCTTTCTTGGGGTGATCGACACTTTGATATTTTTTAGTGCTAACCTTTGCTATTGCTTCAGACACAATAGTCCAACGGATTGGTATGCGGAGATTTTGGTGCACATTGTGCGCTGGAAATGAAGCGAGGAACCTCATTTTATAACAATTCTTGGCTGGCGTGTGCTGAGTGCGATGGTGCTGAGTCCTGTTGAAATGTCCAGGGTCTGCGGCCAAAATGTTTGCATGCCCAAGGCATACCCTCCAGAATATTTTCGCGATAATATTCGGTATTTATTCTAATACCACGGTCGATTAATACGAGCGGTAGCGACCATCGGCTGTTATGGCGGCCCACACCATCACCATGGTCGGCGCTTGAGTTCTGGTGGCCAACCGAACGTGCACATTTTCAGCTGACCTCTTTGGCAAGTAAACACGATCATTTTATTGTTGTTGTTTACAAACTTCTGGACAACGAATGTTTTCTCATCGGAGAAAATCAAATTCGGCAGTTCACCACTTTCGGCCAAGCGAAGCAACTCTTTAGCTCTTTTGAGTCTATTTTCTTTCTGTTGCGGTGTAAGTTCTTACACTTTTTGGAATTTCAATGGCTTTACCACGAACTCATTTTTCAATATTTTCCAAATGGAATATTGCGATATGTTCAGCTCCCAAGCCATTTTTCGGCCACTGCCGAAAGTCGCTTCATTACTGCTGTTTGTCGGATATTGCTGTTTTCTTCCGTCCACTTCCTTGACGTCGGACTTCGCTACCAGTATCACGGTACGATAACGAACGTTTGTACGAGACACAAAAGATTTATTCGTATTTAAATGCTGGAGTGTTCTAACGGTAGCCCTTTGTTGTTTTCCAGCCAAATATAAAGAAATCACGCATGAATTCCATCGCGAATAACTTTTTTTCAGGAAAATTCTCACCTAAATGCTTTTGCCTTTTACGCTTGTTAACAATATAATGAGCTGTCACTGGTATAATTTTAACAGCTGTCGGACTAGTTAGTTAAAGATAACCGCAGTCTGAAGTTGGTTGCAGTTTTCTTTCAGACTTTCTAAATACCGTCTGTATTTTCCTATAAAGGACTTCTTTAAAGGCTTTTAGAAGTGTTTTGTTTAAAGATGTTCTTTGTAAAGGTCTCCTTTAAGTTCTTCTGTATGACCACGTAGAGGTCTGCTATAATACGTTTCTAAATTTGTTCTAAAATATCTTAAACCTTCAAAAACAATTGCTATGAATAGGAGACAATCGCCAAAAATTATTTTATATTGATCGAAAACTTTTTGAAAAAAACTGTTCTACACCTCTAGTTTTCAAAAATGTTATCTATTTTCCTAAATTTATTTTTTTCATGAATTTTACTAAAACTATCGTCACTTCAATAATTAGATGCTTAAATATTATTTGTGGTTCTGCTAATTGGAAAATTTATTTATTTTGTGTTTGGCTTGTTTTGTCGAAATCCATTGTTTATCATAAATTGCAAAAATTGCACGGATTTAACGAATATCCACACAAGGTAATTACACTTGGAGAAAATGTGACGAATTGGCTTTCAAATAAATATAAAACCCAAATTATTGCTCAAAAAGTCTAATTAAACTAAATGCAAATGAGCAAAAAATATATTTTTATTTTTTTTAATTGTAATTAAAATATAATTATGAAATTATTTGATAAAAATGAAATTATTTTAAATTTTAATTAAAAATATTTTTTTTTTCTTAAAAAAATCAGAGATATTTTCAATATTTTTCCCTAACATTTTAAGAAAAACAGCCGTTGATTCATATTCTCCACAAATAAAATATATCACTTTACCAAGCATATATCGTTATTTCTACAGGGTGAGGTGAAAAAAATTGCTACCAACTTCAGACTGCTGTCATTTCTAAACCACTATTCCGACAGCTGTTCAAATTATTCCAGAGACAGCTCATTATATTGTTTACAAGCGTACAAAAGTATTTTGGAGAGAGTTTTCCAGAAAAAAAGTTATTCGTGATGGAATTCAAGCGTGTTTGTGTGATTTCATTATATTTGGCTGGAAAACTAAAAGTGGCTATCGTTCGAGCACTTCAGCAGTTAAATGTTAATAAATCTTTTGTGCCTTCTACCAACGCTCGTTATCGTACCGTGATACTGGTAGCGTAGCCCGACGTCAATGAGCCGGACGGAAGAGGCAACGACAACATCAGCAGAAATGCTTCGAAAAGTAAGGAAGCGACTTGATTGAAACCCGCGTCGAAAAATGGCTCGTGAGCTGAACATAACGCAATATTCCAACCGGCAAATATTGAAAAATGAGCTCGGGGTAAAGCCATTGAAATTCCAAAAAGTGCATGAACTTACATCGCAACGGAGAGAAAATAGACTCAAAAGAGCTAAAGAGTTGCTTCGTTGGACCGAAAGTGGTAAACTGCCGAATTTGGTTTTCTGCGATGAGAAAACATTCGTTGTTCAGAAATGGTTCGAAAAGTAAAGAAGC